GAAGTGATGCATTCTGGGTCCATGGCGGATTTGATTTGTGATGGGAAACGAAAGTACGGAGTACAGGAAATCTTCCCTTCAAAATAAGAGCTTGGATTTTAAAGTTTTCCATGTAGTTGCTCCAGTTGACCACTAGATGTCAGTCTTCATCAACATAACATCTTTAAGTCATTCTGAGTCTCTAACCCCGTTGGCCGATTGCTTCGACCAGTTACGTCAAGAAGTGAGCTCCAGTGTTTAAACTTTACTTTTTTTTAAAAAAAGGAGCTCCGATTGTTAAGTAAAATAAATCAATACATACAAAATTTTAGTATTGATTACAAATGTTAACTATTTTTGCTGTTGCCTTCCTGCTACGTAAGCAGATACAAAGCATTGTGGCAAATCAGAACCATGACCCAAAGCAACAGTCAGCAGGATGTATACCTTCTCAATAAGTGTGTTTATCTGGGAGGGGTGCTGCTGGATAGATCACGTGTGTTGTGATTCATTGACAGTCATACCTTCTGCTGTTCAAGATAATGATGACTGGTAGATAACTAGTTATTAGCAGTACTGCATTTTAATTTTAGAAAGCGCAAACCCACTTATGAACAATAAAAATTAATAAGACCGCTAAGCGCAAATGAAATATTTAGGTCTGCAATTAGCGGATTTGCGCTTTAGCGGGCTGGTGCCCACCACTACTAATAGTAGAATATTTCAGGTTGAGTTTGGCCACTTCCACTTATTAGATCTGAGAATTCATTTTAACTAGACCTTCAGAAATTCAGTCTTTCTGTTTGAATAAAGCACACTAAAACTTCAGGAAGAGACAGGCTCACTGTTTCTCATTTTCAGTTTTCATGCTGCACAAAGCTGATCAGCTGCAGCTCATAAGAAAAATATTAAGCAGATATTTGAAAAGTTTGAATACATCTTCTCATCTAATTCTTTACCGGGCAATAAATAAACAAATTTGTCATAGGCGACAAGGCCTGCTTCTTACGCTCAAACATTGCAAATAGAGCATCGGGGGTTTTTTGGAGAAGGACTTGTTTGTTTACGAAGGAGGTCACCAGAAAACAATGTCTCCATTTTTTTCTTTTGTGAAAGTTCCCACAGTCCCAAACTGAATTTGTTGCTTGTTTTACCTGCCAGTTCAGACTCTGAGTTCTGCAAACTGTTTGCAAACTGACAGTGGTGTAAAGGTTTGTAAAAAAGGTTCACATGAACTGCCATGAAGAACCTTTTTGACCCTAAAAATACTCAGATCTAAATTTATTTCTTTAAACTGAGGTCATTCTTAGAGTTTTTCTATGATAGTTAAGATATTCTGTCTTTATAATGTTTCCCCAGAAATCTATTTCAATATACCTGAAATTTTGCTTTAAGAGAAAAAAATCATTGCAATACATTTTACTGTTATTTACTATTGATCGCACAACATGAATATAAGCCCCAAACATTAAAAATAAAACATTTAAATACAGGATGCACTTGTCTATAAGCCAAGAGCTAAGTGATATTTACACAGAAAGATGTTACACACAGGGGCCCCTGCAGAATTTTATCAGAGGGTACACACAAAATTATCACCACACCTGACCACAGCACCAACGCGCCTCGTGTGTGGCGCACAAAGCCAACAAAATGCACCTGACCCACACAAATACAGTCCACAAATGAACAATGCACATGGCACACAAAAACAGCAACAAGGCACCACACACCTGTCACGTCCTGACTAACACATAATGCCACATGAGCGTGATTCACATAGTGCACAAAAACAGTGCATCTGTCTCAAACACGACCCAATGCACACAATGCGACACACACATACAAATTCCCACTTTTGACTGGGTCAATTTACAAAAAGTAAAATAAACAAAATATAAATTTGGCAAATGTTATTTAGTGGCCGAAATTTGCAACCATTAGATATTTCCTCCTTATTCCTTCTGGAGAAGATAAGAAAGACATGAAGTCAGAGACACAGCTGTCAATCACAATGTGCTGCTGCTACTGTGTTAAAAATCATAATTAATCCAAATTGGGCAGAAAAATGGACTTAATTTATGCTGAATGCAATGGAAATTATGTCAAAAAATGGAAACGCAGTTAAATACAGACTGGAAAATGGATGAAGTAAGTAAGAAAGTAAAGTTTTATTTATATAGTCAGGGTTGCAGATAAAATGTTTGGTCTGGTTCTCAGGGGAGAACCTAGGGTTGTTGCTTGATGCTCAATCATATTTTCCTTCACTCATTGAACACATTTATCTAGAGGGGCGTCAGGTCATCTAACGTCCCCCTGTTCTGTTTTATGACTCCTATCAGCTGCAACGTCTCAGGACATCATGTCAAATCAGTCCAACAAGTTTTTAATTTATTCATTTACTCTGCATAAATTTTGTAAACTACCTAAGTGTCCGAGGGGCTGTGTGTATGTCATATAAACATCACAAACTGAACATTTCATGGTTAAATGTCTTTTAGACTAACATGTCCCTCAGATGGACAACTCCTGTAGTTTGACCTTCTGCATCTTCAGCCTTGGTTAAACCAGCTTTCCACACTCTCCAGTCCAACCAGCAAATATCTGTCTTTTGCACAGAGCAAAATAACTTAAAACATAAGTTTTATTTGTTAGACTGATTTCTTTATTAAAAGACTATTTTATTCAAAAATATTATATTATTTAGATGGTTTCAGCTCATGTAATTATTTGTTCTTCGTATTTGATCATTTAATAAATTTCATAAATGTTTTGCAGTGATTTCTTTTAGAGTCTATCAAAAGGAAGCTAAAGAGGTTATCATGATGTTGTTGAACAACCACAGAATTTAACCTTGACTGGCGCCTGCCTGGCAAGTCTGTATCTTTCTTCTCTGACTCATCTCTAAGCCTGAGGGCGGAACCAAAGTTCGTCTGTTCTTATTACTAACCCGGACAGCTTTGAGCACACTCTGACTTCCTAACTCAAACAGGAAGACGGCTGTGATTCTCTTCATAGAATCTCAGCCCTGGGGCTGTAAATCTAATCCCACCAGCCAATTAGGGAGGATTGTACAGCCAGGGAGCTGACAAGCCTGTCGGTGTTCCCACCCGGGGCTTCAAGCCTCTAAGCATGTGTTTTTACCTTCCAATGGGAAGATGATTTTATTTTGATGCAGAAACCGGATCCGGCTTGAATTTTTCTGGCTTGGACTGAAGCAGACGCAAAGTTACCTGAAAATAACACCTGTTCGCCAATGACCAGTAAGCGAGCCGACACAACAGTTCCCTGACTGATCGGAGGCGAGTCAGTCTTCTACTTGGAGGGTGCCTTAATGGTGCGTTCACACCAAACGCGATTTCAGCATCAGGAGCCTCAGGTTTACATACAAAGTCTATGGTGGACGCGCTTCAAGCAACGTCGGGAAGTGCTGCGGCGCCTCAAGCTCGATTAGAGCAGCGCGATTTGAACGATCTGAGCGTTCGAGTGCTTGATGCGCAAATCGCTGAAGTTAGAAAATCTGAACTTTTGCAGCTCGACGCGCCGCGTCAACCAACCAGAGAGACTCCACTGTGTGACGTAGHGACATATTTCCCGACGGGACAGTTTACTGAATGATGTCTACTAACCTGAAACAGACGGAGAGGAGCTCTTTAGCTGAAATCGAGTGCCTACAGTCGATGTCCTGACAGGAGATATCCTCACTCATGCAAGTGCACTCATCAGACTGGACTCAGGGCAAAAATAGTCCTGAAAGCGAGCTGTGAGCCTCTACTCTGAATTATCTGGTGAATTAATTATGAATTAATTATCTGATGAACGTGACATGCTCTTGCTCTCTGTAAATAAAGCAAAGCCACTTCCTCGTCCGACATTAAACAGAGCCCGACAGAGGAGGGAGGGGCGGGGGGGCTCTTGCCGTGCAGCRCTTCAAGAGCTGACCTGCGTCTGACCTCAAAGTGCACAAGTGACCGACTTCAGCGTTGGCTGCGATTTTGAAGCTGAAATCGCGTTCGGTGTGAACGCAGCATAAGAAGCCATCATCAGGTAAAAGCCTGATGTGTTTGGAGTGATGTGTACTGTGGACCTGAGTCGAGAAAAGACG